TGGATCCACAGGTCTTGAGTGAGTTATTCTCCAGCTTTCCGTACTCTTCTTCTTCTTCACAGACATGTTTCAAAAGTTTTTTTTCACTCGGGAACCCAGTTTCAGATAAAACTTTCTAAAGCACAGTTTCTGTCTGGATCAGTATAAACCTGTTCCGTATGCACATGAACCGTTCCCACAAGGACCTGAGTGTCTCTGCAGTTCTTGGGACCAGGGGCAGCACCTGGAACCTGGGACAGGCATGTTTGTCAGTCAGCTGTGGCAGGTGAGCGCTGCAGAAACACTTAGCTGTGTGTGTCATACAGCCGTTTGGTTTCTGAGAGCTCATTTGTTGCTTTTGTAAACAGTTTCCAGACTCAGCCAGGCGTGTCTGCAGACACACACCGCTGTCTCCAGGAATATGAAGAGGTCTGTGTGTTGGAGAGAAGTGGAAATGTAATTACTACAATGTAAAAACACAAACTCGTGATTTCTTTTTTTTTTTGTTTGCCTTCAAGGTTTTATATTCATTTAAGTTTAGGGAACAAAGGTTTAAAACAGTTTGAAGAACGTTGATCAGATTAGGTCTTCCTGTGAACAGGCTGGGTCTTTATGAAAGTTAAAAGTGTCTTGGTGTTTCCAACAAATAATATCATCACATTATAAATAATAGAAATATTCTTTTAACCATATTATAGTCTATAATTTGTAACACCACCTGTACAAAGTTTAAAACTCTTATTGAAGTTCTGAGCAGCTTTAATGGCTCTTCTSTCAAAGACCTTGGACTCGACCAGACTCAGTCCTGTGGATCCTGTTGTTTGCTGGACTCTGTGGGAGTTGGACCCGGTCAGAGCTGGGCTCTCCTTCTCAGCACGCCGTCAGCTCCTGAGCTCTCAGAAACCCAAAGTCAAACAAAGAGGCGGGCTTATCAGAATGTTAAAGAGGCCTGCTGCTGCTGGAAGCCCTTCAGTCTCATTATGTGCCGGTGTTTACACTGCACCAGATTCTGGGACCAGACATGACTCACACCTCTGTTTGATAAATGTTATCTCTCATCACCGTGCTACAAGGACTAACAAAAACCTAAATATGATAAGAGAGCTGTGTTTGGTGCAGTCAGCGGTCTGAGTCCTCCTGGACCTGTTTTCAATTACCTGCTCACAAAATACAGAGAGAACYGACAAAACCTGCTCATTTCTCCTCGTAGAAAAACAAAAAGCTCTGATGGAGATAAACAGATGTGAGTCAGGTCCAGAGTCAGGGTCTAGAGTCAGGGTCCAGGGTCAGGGTCCAGAGTCAGGGTCCAGAGTCAGGGTCCAGAATCAGGGTCCAGAGTCAGGGTCCAGGGTCAGGATCCAGAGTCAGGTCCAGAGTCAGTGTCCAGAATCAGGGTCAAGTGTCGGGCTCCAGAGTCAGGGTCCAGAGTCAGGGTCTAGAGTCAGGTCCAGAGTCAGGGTCTAGAGTCAGGGTCCAGGGTCAGGGTCCAGAGTCAGGGTCCAGAATCAGGGTCCAGAGTCAGGGTCCAGGGTCAGGATCCAGAGTCAGGTCCAGAGTCAGGGTCCAGAATCAGGGTCAAGTGTCGGGCTCCAGAGTCAGGGTCTAGAGTCAGGGTCCAGGGTCAGGGTCCAGAGTCAGGGTCCAGTGTCAGGGTCAAGTGTCTGGCTCCAGAGTCAGGGTCTAGAGTCAGGGTCCAGGGTCAGGGTCCAGAGTCAGGTCCAGTGTCAGGTCCAGAGTCAGGGTCCAGTGTCAGGTCCAGAGTCAGGGTCCAGAGTCAGGGTCCAGAGTCAGGGTCTAGAGTTAGGGTCCAGACTCAGGGTCTAGAGTCAGGGTCCAGGGTCAGGGTCCAGAGTCAGGTCCAGTGTCAGGTCCAGAGTAAGGGTCCAGTGTCAGGTCCAGAGTCAGGGTCCAGAGTCAGGGTCTAGAGTCAGGTCCAGAGTCACGGTCCAGAATCAGGGTCCAGAGTCANAGGGTCCAGAGTCAGGGTCCAGAGTCATGCCCAGAGTCACAATCCAGAGTCAGGGTCCAGAGTCACAGTCCAGAGTCAGGGTCCAGAGTCAGGGTCCAGAGTCAGGGTCTAGAGTCAGGTCCAGAGTCACGGTCCAGAATCAGGGTCCAGAGTCATGGTCCAGAGTCACGGTCCAGAGTCAGGGTCCAGAGTCAGGGTCCAGCAAAGCTTAACACTGCTACAATATAAACAATGACAAAAAGAGAGCTCTACTACATACGTCATGCAAATAAACACTGATTTTAATACGTACAGTTTGCACAAAAAATGCACTACTTGTGTGAGTGATTAAACATGCACAAAAACGTTAACAATGATAATTAACAGTAAAGTTACGGAGGTAACTTTCTAAAGGTGCAAGTAGCCGCCATCTTGATATCGAAACTGTGGATAGTCCAATTGCTCCCAGTATAGGATTTACCACTGGAGGGGGCGTTTTATTTTTTTAAACTTACGAATAGGAGCAAGGAAATTTCCACTTCCCAGTTATACTGGAACGCACCAAACAGAAGTTCCATTATTTGTGTGGTGGTGTTAAGTAGAATCTAGCTCGTGTTTACTGCTGTTTAGGCAGAGGCCCTCCTTGTTCACAGAGCTTTATCAAAACTGGACAGTGTTTTCATTTTTGCTAAAGGAATATTTGATTCTGAAACAAACAAAATCTTTAAACAACTCACGCCTGAATTCTGAGTGTTCAGGAGTTTGTAGTGTGTGTCTCGCTCGGCTGATGTGAGTCAGACAGGTGTGTGTATTATTCTTACACATCCAGTCCATAATGTGCTGACAAAACTTAGAAAAATGTTGTTTTCCAGATTTATAAATAATAGCTGGGATATTGTTCTGCCCTAAAGTTTACACTGAACTTCATATTTTTGGAAGATGTTGGGGGTTTCAGTGAGCCTTATGGCTGACTTCTTGCTCAGGGAGTTCACCTGTGTACCTGTTACCAGGTAACAGCAGGTACAGGGAGCGACAGCGGACAAAATACCTCAAACTCCCCAACTAGCAAATTCCGTAGGATTCCACATTTTATATAAATGCCATTTTGTTTGGTGTATTCTTAAATGTAATTGCATTGTGCTCCGTACAATCAATCAATCAATCAATCAATCAATCAATCAATCAAT